CTCAAGCCTCTCTCCCTCTCTCTCTCCCCCTCCCCGCGACTTATTCTCAGCCGGCACGAATTTAACATCCACCGCAATGCTCATTTATATATATATATATATATATATATATATAAATGAGCATTGCGGTGGATGTTAAATTCGTGCCGGCTGAGAATAAGTCGCGGGGAGGGGGAGAGAGAGAGGGAGAGAGGCTTGAGTAATCTTTGCCGAGTAATTTTTATATATCCCGTCGCATGCGAATGTGCATCGCTACGTCCCAACGACTGTCGATACGTCGATACTGTTACAAAGCATGCAAATTCGCGTGCTCGGGCCTATGACGACGCGAGGATACGAGAGCAAGATTATCCCGCTTCTAGACGAACGGCTTTGTGCCACTCGAAGAACGAATTCGGCCTCCAATAGCTGCCACGGCGCGTTACATTTTCAAGATGGAAGGTACCGACACTTCTTCCTCCGCCTTTTCTATTACTTCCTCTTCCTCCTCTCCCTCCTCGTCAGTCGGGAAGCGCGATAATCGCGTTTCGGAGCGGCTCTAAACTCTCGTCGGATTCTCTCGTAGCTTCGCGAACGGCAGAAATCAGAGCATTAAAGATGAACATTCCGCGGAGGACGGAGAGGGGGGGGGCACACAGGCGGGAATGGAAGATAAAAGTGCAACGGGCTCTTCTGCGACGCTCCGGATTCCCGATAATGGAAGTAAGTCACTTTTGTATCTCTAATAAACGATTTCATTCTCCTTAAATCGCGATAGCGCCGTTATTGATCTGCGATAAACAGCAGACGTGCGAATCCTGATTTTCTTCCGCCCCGTCGTTGCTATTGAACGGACAGTTTGATTCACGCAACAATTGATTATATCGGTAATTAGTAATACATAATCGTGTCAAACGAGCGGGAATAAATCGAGTAACATCCCTTTTACTAGGCGCATCGTCCGGCGATCCATAAAATTCCAAACAAATTTAGATTGTGTCTGGTGTAGGAACGACTATTTATAATGCAGAGAGAGAGAGAGAGAGAGAGAGAGAGATAGGTCCCGATAAAATCGCGATAGCATTCGCTGCTGCGGCGCGACGCGAATTATGACTAACAACTAAAAAAATATTTAATAAATTACGGGGAAACGGTACGATAAGGAAGCACGCGTTTGCGATGTAAAACTTAATTGTCTTCTCTTATTATAATTTTTTCTAAAATGCACGCTGAATGTGTGCAGCACGAAGATAATGATAACCGGATATTGCCGAGCGGCTCGAATCGCGGACGGTCGTGCGATAATACTAAAGGGGAGAAAAAAATTCAATTGAATATCCCAACGTCTCAGATCTGTGGAGCGCGAGAGGAAGAAAGTGCCGGTCTATAAATCGCCGAGCACATTTACGCAAGATATTCTTCAGTTTTACGCCCTGTCGGAGCCGACCCGTCGGCCAACGTTATCAGCTTTACTTAGGCAATACAGCGGCCAATAATTCTTCCCGCCTCTATGTGAGATGGTTCCCCGCGGGCTATTTATCCTAAAACGCACGAGACACGCGTGTGTGGAGATTTACGCGTGTACGTATCTCGTTTCTCTTCTTTATTTGTCCATTCGCTTAAACTCTATTCTTGGCGGAACTTTCGGGAGTTCCCCTAATCGACTTGGTCGGACGACTGTTCCTCACGAGAGACGAATTAATCCCCTCGACAAAGTTTGTCCTCTCGATTTCTGAAATACCCTATATATATGATTTCGCCGATATACGCGATAACGGGTATCAAACATACTATGCAATTATCGGTGGCATCTATCATTTGAAACGGTTTGATCATGCGAGAGCACGCCGGTCCCGATTAAATGCATATATACGATAGATTGATAGTTGCCCGTCGCTTGGCCAAATATATCGCGAAACTTGCAGCATTATCGCATATCATCGCGCGGTATTCGTATTTTTTAACGCCGTATGTGCGGTTGGCCTGATCGGAAAGTTGATATTGACTTTCGACGGCTTCCGCGTATGAAAAATATGAATCATATTTCTCGTACAATTTAGCTGATATATAATATCGATGCGCCCGAATAAAATATCCCCGCTTGATCGTCGTGAGAAAGACAATTCATAAAAAAAAAATTATCTTTTTCCGGCAACGTCCAGCACAGCAATCGCTACTGTTCATTAAAATCTCATGATTAATGATGGGCTGGCTTAGTGATTAAAGTGGCCATGATTCGCTCATTCCAGCGCCAAAGCAGCAGGATACCGTTAAGATCCCGTCTAATCCCAGAAAATCCCAGGATGTTTTTAAGCGCATGCTTAAAAAGTCTTACGGCCCATAAGTAGAGACGGACATTGTTGCATCGATTAATCGATGCTTAATGCCGTTCTCGTTCTTTTAAGAAGTAATTCCCCCCTTAAACTCGGTCACTTAATTAATATGTATACTTTGACCGACAGTTACTTCGATTTCATTAAGCCCTCTCTACGAATAGTTGCCGATATTCCGCGATCAATAGGTGGAATGTTGTATTACATCCAACGCAAATGATGGACAATCATTATAATTACAATTATATTAACATCGGGAGTTATTGCCAAAAAAATTTCAATTATCATCATAATCATCGGTTTCGCGTGAAAAGAGTGATCCGTAATTCCATCCCTGTCCTTTTTCATCCTTAACGGATCTTCCCGACGAGTTCCCGAAGGGTACGACTCGAGCGATCAATTTCTTTTCCTTCGTAATCATTACGTCTCGGCCGCCGATCGTTCCTTCGACGTTCACCTGGTGGCGACCTGTCAACCTTTCGCGCGAGGCCGCACCATGAAGCACGTACCGCCGCAGGTCTCCTTGAAATCGTCGCAACAGTCGGCAAGCTTGAGACAGGCGTGATCGCAGTAGCACGGCTTGTCGCGCGGGCTCTGGATAATCGCGTTCGGCGACTCCTTCTGTATGACGCAGCCGGAGTCCCTGCCCTGGCAGCAGAGCTTCGCGGAGCTGCAGCTTCCGGCGGCGGTGCCGTCCGACAGGTATATTAGCGTGGCGACGATCAACCTGGCGAGCGTCACGTCCTTCCTCCACATTCTCCTCGCGATTCCGCGACCCTGACACGACCTTGCCACCGCGATTCCGGTCGGCGGACAACTCCCAACGGCAGTCGCGGAAACGCACGCACGTGTTCCCGCTCTTTCTCTCTCTCTCTCTCTCTTTCGCTCGTCACTTCGCAGCGATTAGCCGCGCGCGAGATCGATCGCCGGCATTGCCGATCGTACTTTCCCTCTCGCCCTTTGAGTCACTAAATCACTCCTGGCTTCTCGGCGGGAAGAATGTCTTCTCGGCTGTAGCGGCATTCATATTTCGGAGGCAGTCCGCGCGCGAACACCGTCGGAATCACCGGCGCCGGGTCACCGAGCCGAACGCGCTTCTGCGTCGGCGAATGCACTCGCGTGTAAAGTCGGTAGTACAATAGTTAATCTTCTCTCATTCCACAGGAGTGAAAACGGGAGAATGGAAATATACGATAAACGACTTCAACTCTTCCTTAGGATCCGTCCGAGGAACCCGATATCCAGGGTTAATTAACTGAAATCACCGAATGATTCTTAACGTTGGGTCAGTTCTCTCAGCCGTTTGGCGTTTTCTTTCCTTCTTTCAAGGTATATCGTCAAGGTGCGAAGAAAAAGTAAAAACAAACGCGACGTCCATACGAACACTTGACCGCGCACATCGAGCTCTCGTGGAGACGGATGACGATCCTCGCCGGTCACCGCGAAAAGCGAGCAAGAATTTCTTTTTCCCTCTCTCTCTTCCTCTCGGTCACCCTATCTCTGTCGCGCGCTCGACCCTTCGACGCGGGGTGTCGCGATCCGACTGAGCGTTTCAACCCCACGCGCGAGAAGAATGTAACGGGGCGCGCGCTATGTTGCGCCTTCGCCTCGTCTCGTCGTCCTTGCTTTTCGTACTCGCGCACCTCGCCTCCCACGGGAACAGCAGCAGCCGGCATCTGCACGAGCGCATGCTCGAACGATATTCCCACGAGACCCCTATGATTTAGTGCCTGCAGCTTTTAATGGAATTTAAAGGCAACAATTCGTAGCCCAATACTCGCGCGATGCTCCCACACGTACGGAGACGTCGCGGGGCTACCGGATGTTCTCGAAATCTTTCGCGCACATACACCTTCCATTCTGCCCCGAGCTCGGTCTTTCCTTCGTGAAATATATCATGGTTTCCACTTCGACCTGTTAATCTTCTCAAAATCCTCTAAAAATTACGAAATATAACTTGTCTTCATCGTGTATTCTTCGGATTCGTCAATAGAAGATGATTTTGACAAGGACATCTTGTGTGTGTGTGTGCGTGAGTGTGTGTACGTGATAATACCTGGAGCTCTATCGTTATCGACGTATCGCATGGTGTGTGATTTCAGTGAAGTCCTATCGCGTGCATTGTCATCAATGAATGCGAAAAATTGATAAACTTTATCGGGTTTGAGCTATTGTTCCCGTTTCGGACGCCAGATATTGTAAAATAGAGTCAGCATGTCGCACATACACATATACACACACACATATATACATATACACACATCTGGAAGATTTACTGCTATCGCTTTCGGTGAAATTCCGAATCATAGAGACGCATTCAAGATATTAATTCGTGAGATACTTGTAGCCATTAACGGCGTCATCTCCATACGCTGCCACTTCGTCAAACATTTCAGGTGTCGCAAAGTTATTTTTGCGCGTAATCATTATTTTTATCGCGTGCATTGCGTACAAACAGGTTTATATATTTGTTATCATTGCGCGCGCCCGCTGACCGAGTGACTGCGATGGCAGCACCGGCCGGCCGGCTGACCGCTCTCACTTATGTGTGTCACGATGCGGGCGTAACTCGTTCGTTAAACTTACTTTTTAGTTCTTGAAAATTCTTTGGAGTTTTACCTCATCTGCTCACCCTTGTTATGTCTCGAATCGGTAATATCCCAGCAACATCTTTATCTTAGGAATTATTGTTTCTTTTACATATCTGTGTGTCAGCGAATATACATAATAAATATATATATGATAGCAAAGAAGATAAACTTTCAGTGATTAAAAAGTTTTACTTATTTGATAGCCACAGGCTATTATTACACTATTTACGCACGAAGTCCAATACACGTTCAAAAATAAATACTATTTGTAAGACAGACACCCCCCCTCCCTCTCTCTTCTCAACGGTAACTCGCGTCAGAAAAGAAAAACTTGACTTAATATTCAAGTTCGTAAAAATATTGATAACCCGCAAAGCTAAGTGTGGAAAAAACTTCTCCATTCTTATAACAGTCACACTATAAACAAACAAATTGTAATTATTAGTCACGTGGGGTGGTTGGTGAGGGGCCTTTCCGAGAGACCTTCTTTATTCCCTTCGTGTGCCCGCTTTTGCTTTGTTTTGGACAAGCCAAATTTTCCTTCCTCCTCCCTCCTTTACTGGCCTCTTTTTTCTTGTGTCTACATTTTCTTTGTTTAATTTGTATTAACCGGGATAGCGCGAACGCAGTCCCGACTACCAAAAATTGTACGCCCGAGATATCCACATTAGGGATATTCGCAAGGGTCAGCTCAACCGTAGTGCAATGGAAGAGCCTCGCCCTGGAGGAACCGCCTTCCTGATCACGGTAACCTCTGCGCCAGGTAAGTATGATTTCCGCCGTTATGCTCCTTAATTTATAACCACTGACGTTGAATTTTAACTACGAGCAAAGTATATCGCGTCTGCGGACCCTAACGGCGACTGTACGAACTACGCGGACGCGCGAAAGCGTAGGCTACGTGTGTGCCTGTGTGTGTGTGTGTGTATGTATGTGACCATATCGGACGATTGCGCGCGTTTTCTTCCTCTTGCATTTCAACACGTGCCGCCCGAAGAAAAATCAATCTTACGTATTCGGGAGATTTTCTCAAGCAGCAAATTTCGCGCAGTAAAATTCGGGCGACACTTTGCATTTACTTACTTGAAACAAAAAATTCGGGGATAAACGCTTACATGAACACCTTGAAAAAACGCAACCATGACAAGGAAGACTAAAATACGTTACATTTTGTGAAAAATTGGTGCAATTTGCTCTTATATTTCCATGGATTATTTATTAATTAAACTCATATTGTGTGCGATTATGTAATTATTATTAACTTGCTTGTAACGAAAGCAAGTGAAATGAATTCAGCATGCGATATTCGGGCGAATCAAAATTTCACCTTCATCTAATAATCAAGCAATGTTACCTTTTATTATTATAAGTGACTTTCTGCGTGAATAATGAGTGATCGATTAAAGTTGAGTTTTATCGAAATGCGTGTATTCGTAATGAAATACGGATGGCGCGTTTATAATGGGTCCGATGTGTACGCGTAAGAGAAAAGAACGAGGGGCTAAGGTTTAAAAAGCTACTCACGTCCCGAATGCAGTTTGTATTAAGCAATGAAAGTTGGCTACAGATATTGCGAAAGTTCGCCGCGTATTCTATAATTACGCTCCATTGCCAAGAGCATAATCTCCTCATTCCCTTCTGTTTCTTGCTTCCCATTATCCTAAAGCACGTGCTCCGTAGATTTACGACGAGGAAAGAAGTTCCAGTTTTGTATGAATGCATAAAAACTTTCCCGATGTTTATTTAACATCGTTAGCATCGTATGCATTACGATGCTAACGAGTGCAGGCACCGAAAAGGTATAATCCCTTGATAACCGATTTATATACACACCCCGATCTATATTTCTTGCGTTTTAAAGATCTTTAATATCCGCGGTGCACGATGATTAAATAAACTTTGTTAAGTATATACGTACGCTCCCCTCTTCCGTCCCCGATTATATAGATAATATAGATTGGCGTATTAAAAAATGATTTTGACGCTAAGGATGGTTTTATTGGCAATAAAGGATTATACCACGATGACAAAAGATCCTTCCTCTTTATGATTGAAGAATATTAATTGTACATAAAATATAGCGCGTCAATATGACATATTTTGTCACTGATAGCTCAATATATTGTTGCTTTATAATATTATGATATATATTTTTCCCATGTGTATGTTGCGTTAATATCAGTGCTGCCATCTCGGTGAGGATTAGTTATCCAGCGATAAGACGATTTTCTTCGAGAATAAGAGAAACATTTCACGCATTGCACTTGTTGTTGATCGACGACATTCGCGGACATAGCGTTTGATGAGTATGCCTCTTCGCGAGTTCTTGGTAATGTGAGTTCACATACATACGTTCAACAAGTAACATAAAGAAGTTTCACGCGAGACGAAGAAAAGTGTTGAGGTGTGGGCGCACCGGCCGGCCGGAATTGAATTGAATTCTCGCGATACCAGGGCGACCGAGGGAACGGTTGATTAATCGCACCTGCAAACAATGTGTAACGCTGCTTGATATCCACATAGTCTCTTCTACTGGAGATAGAGCGCACTCTTGGAAGACGACAATTAATTTTCCCAATTCTGTCGGGCGTCTTGCAATGTTCGCGCCAGCTGCGCCGACATTAATAAGAGAAGACATTCATATCATCCCGCGGACAACGAGAAGTCGATGTACATTGCGACTTTCTCTCATTCATGACTTCAGCTGCAATGACGACAAGGAACGGAAGCGAATTGTCGATAGAACGTATTAATTTTAACGTGACTTTTGATATGAAATTCGCACCTCCTGAGGAGATCGCTACTTGTGTCATACCCCAAGAAATTTATAGAAAGTACGCTAAGAAAATGCGAAGTTATAATTGCTAACGAAGGAGATTGGACTCATTATTAAAATATTAGTGCTTTCTATATACTTTCGATTTATCGAAATAAATTTACAAATAAATTTATATTTATAGAGATATCGCCGACACGCTCTTGTGTGACAGACTATATTTTCGCGTTAAAATTTCTCGACGAATTCTGCGCGCACCCTGTAATTCTAATTAGAAAATTGCGATTTTGCTACGCAAGATTTTCTGCGCGCGCTCGCTCGTTCTCTTCTCAGGTTTTATGGCTGGAGATTATGAAATCTATTCCGGTCCGCGGACAAATTGACAGCGACGAGAGTGCGAGCGCACTTCGGAAGTTCGAGTGAGTATACATACGAAACTCGATTCGCGCAGAATAGACCATGATAGCGGCTAATACGAGTAACGAGAAAATTCAATTTGCCCGCTGGCGGAGTTATCATCGTGGGAAACGCAGTTTTTAGACATTAGCATCACTGTGCAGACCGAAGAAACTTCAAGGTGCAATTACTCATTATTTCTTATTATTATCGACGAGATAATCGAGTCGTCATTTCATTTTTTACATTGATTTTTAATATCTTTAGAATTAAAGTGTGTTTAAGAACTGAAGAAACTTTAATAAAATAAATGTAAAATATATAGAAATATATATTAGGTTGGGGAAAAAGAAATCCATTATTTTCTCGGTAGATGACTGTAGTGATCGATATCTCGTAAAGTATCGATCAAACAATTTCAGATTTATGCTCGTTGGAAAGGTGACATTTCGCACTAAAAAAATTCTTTTGTTGTTTTTTGTTTGGTTCATTTAGTTGTGAGTTACAGAGTGTTAAAAATGGAAGTCAACAAAGAGAAAATTCGGTACATTTTACAGTTTTTCTTTGATAAAGGCGAAAATGCAAGCCAGGCGGCTGTAATTGTGAATGGTGCCGATACTGTAACAGTCAATTACGTGTAATTTTGGTTTCGTCGATTCCGTTCAGGTATTTTTGATGTTAAAGACGCACTTCGCACAGGTAGGCCCGTCGTTGAAAATGTCGATAAAATCACAGAAATAATCGACCGGCATGTTAGCAGTCGTAGCATCATCCAGGAGCTAAAGATCGACCATAAAACAGTTTTAAACCATTTGCACAAAGCTGGATTCAAAAAGAAGCTCGATGTTTGGGTGCTACACCAATAACACAAAGAAACATGATGGATCGAATTTCCATCTGCGAAGCCTTGGCCAAACGGAATGAAATCGACCCATTTCTTAAACGGATGGTGACTGGGGATGAGAAATGAGTCACATACGACAACATTGTGCGAAAACGATCGTGGTCAAAGCGCGGTGAAGCAGCTCAAACGGTGGCCAAATTAGGATTAACGGCCAGGAAGGTTCTGCTGTACATTTGGTGGGGCTGGAAAGGAATTATTTATTATGAGTTGCTTCCATATGGCCAAACACTAAATTCGGATCTCTATTGTCAACAACTGGGTCGTTTGAAGCTAGTGATTGACCAGAAACGGCCAGAATTGGCCAACAGGAGAGGTGTTGTGTTCCATCAGGATAGGCCACACATGTTTATAGTGACTCGCCAGAAACTTCGGGAGCTTGGTTGGGAAGTTTTGATGCATCCACCATATAGTCCGGCATCAAATGATTACCATGTTTTTCTTGCATTGCAAAACTTCCTTAGTGATAAGAAATTGGCATCAAGAGAAGATTGTGAAAATCGATTACTAGAGTTTTTCGCCAATAGGGACCAAGACTTCTATGAGAGAGGCATTATGAAGCTACCTTTAAAATGGCAACAAATTATAAAACAAAACGGTGCATATTTGACCCAAATCGGACAATCCGAAACGTGTTAAATAAAGTCTTGAAGTTCACGTAAAAATAATAGATTTCTTTTTCCCCAACCTAATATATATACAAAAAAAAACAATTTTAAATTATAATTTGTCGTTCGCATTTACTCTATTTGCAGTTATTCTAATTTATTTAATGGCTTTATTATACTGTATTCTCTTTCTCTGATGTCGATATTTCTTCCGGATGATCATTCGTATTCTTTTCTGATAACAATCAATTAGATTGCAACTAGACGGACTATGTGGCGCTATCTAACGATATTGCTGAGAAACTTATTAAAAAACTTGCTCAACAGGTTTGATTATCGATCAAGTTGGGTTCGAGTCTTAACTAAGAAGTGAACTTGTTACTTTTCTGTTAGTTCCAAAGCTTCCGCCACGAGCCGTCACCTCCTTTGTCAGCAAACTGAAAAATCGTAGTACTCAGCGATGGATCGAAGATAGTTTATATTTCTTAATTCTTCTAACGATTTCACCACGAGCTGGATTAACTCACACTTCTATTTTCTAACGAAAAGCGAAAGACCATTGTAGCGAGAGACCAGGAGCTTTATTTAAAAGACATATAGACCACAATTGAAAGTTTTAGCAATTTTTTGCTTGCAATGTGATCTACAATCACTCAGAAAATAAACATTGTAAAGTTTCGAGACGAACATAACATATCCTTTTTGTTCGGTATCATCATATTGTAGACGATATTCCTCCCTTATGCGCTTCTGTTTGTATAAAATAATAGTAATAATAACTGTATTAGATACATAGTTAATATAGCTATATGTGTGGCTACATACATATATACATACATACGTATGCGCGCGCGTGTGTGTGCGTGCGTGCGTGTAAAAAGAATTGAGAAAATTACGTGTTAGCAGCTTTCATTTTACACAAAAATCGTAGCTGTAAAAATTTAATCTCTTCCGTATTGAGTTTAACAACTCCTTCTTGATTGTCGATCGAGAGCAAAGTGCCGACAGCTTCCCGGTCCTCGCCTAGAATTACTTTCACTCGATCACCGCGTGACGGCACCACAGGTTCCAGTTGATCGCAGCCTAAATTCACGACTCTGTCCTCGGTAGGTAAGTAAATGGTGCACATGCCGCCCTGCGAGTAAAACGATTCATTGTCAGAAATCGGTAAGATTAGAAAGATGCGTATATATACATGTAAATATCGACGTCATTATAATTTAAAAAAGTTGGATATTTCATTGATAAAAACAATTGTATTAAGAAGGCAATTTACCGAAATTCCGCGAATAATTGCTTGTTGACCAGCAAGCGCAGGATCATCTTGGGAGTCACGAATGCGTACTTCAATATCCGTTGTGTGCCATTCGGAGCCGCCTGCGACACCAGAACCAACACCTGTGTCCAATCCTGCGCCAGGCGTTTGTGGATTGTACGGGCTTCCTGTAATTACAATTAAAACTCGTAACCATGTTGTATATAGATACAAAGAATTAATTTCGACCCATTGAATTCGCATCTGTTTCTGAGATCTTCTAGATAATTGTTTTTTGGCGCTATAAATTAATCATTAAGTTCACATTATATAATGATTGCAATATTTATTACATTGATGCAGCAATAAATTTACTAAAAATTACTGTTACATGGAAATTCGCGAAAATGCCCCCCCTTTCGTTAAGATCAGGATTGTATTATGATATTCAAATAAATAAGTACTGATCAACATACAATAGATAAAAGAAATATTTGTGCGGTAGCTTTTTTATGTGATATTCTTTTTATATAATATGCTTCTCATTGTGGAAAAGATGACATGTGCAGATATCTTTTCATTTATTTCAATTAAAAAATAATTACCAGGTGTCATAGGGCTATAGCCCATGGGAGACGGAGTCGCAAATGCTCCATGTGGGCTCGTGGTATATCCAGTTCCACTTGGGGACGGAGTGGCGATATAACCCGCAGGACTTGGACTCGCAGTGGCACTTCCAGCAGGACTAGGGCTTGGCTGATACGAGCTAAAGCTTTGTTCCGAGCCGTACATGGTGCCTGGAGTCTGCGGAGTGAACGGACCTCCGGTGGGAGGATATCCTGGCCCATAGCCGGGAGAGCCACCCTCTTCCATACTGTAACCATCGAAATCGTTCGTTCTGGCGGGTGTATTTGTGACAGCCGGGTCCCAGGCTCCTGATTGGCCCGGTGTTCGCGAACCATCGTGAGACGGCGTCATTGAACCGTAATGAGGAGTACGAGAGCCATCTGTAACATTAGAAACGGCAAAACTCGTACATTGAAGATTGTTATTTCAGAGATATAGGAGAAATGAGAAGATATATAGACGATGCTCTACGTTTGCACTTTCTCTGACCACCAATGAACCTGTAATCTGGAATATGTAATTTGTAGAACTACTCACTTTCGTACATAGGCGTTTGAGAGCCATGCATGGGCGTCTTGGATCCATCTCTGGCATACATCGGTGTTTGTCCACCGGCTATGTACGCCGGAGTTCTGTTATAACTGCTGAATCCACCATCCTTCGTCGGTACACCGACATTCGCGATATGAGAACGGTCCACGGAAATTGTCTGGCATGTGGAATGCAATTCTACTCGCGCCGTGGTCTCCGTCGCATCTTTAACAATACCGACATTGCCCTTGTAAGGCCCGCCTGTTATTTTGATAGTGGTCCCGATTAATTCCCTGTCGCGTCTAGCACCGCCACCGCGACCTCTGCCTCTTCCACCTCCACCGCCTCTACCGAAGCCTCCCCTATAATTATTATAATAAATAAATAAAAAAAATAATAAAAAAATATTAATAGATTTGAGATTGAGAAGTCAACGAATAATATTAAGGATTAAAAAGTAATCAGAGTACCACAATAAAAATTAATAAGTTTAATTATCTTAATGTATCTTTTTTAAAAGATTGACTAGAAGAATATCAAAACACAGCGGATAGATAATAAAAGACACTAACCCGCTGGGATGCATTGGAGAGGCAATTCTAGGCGACATAAATCCAGCGACTGCCGACATAGTTGTCGCGTTCGTTTTGGTCCCACCAGATAACTGGAGATGTCTGGTCTTACATACGAAAATGCCACCATTGTCGACGAACATTCGTGAATGCAAGAAAGCGAAGCTCCTGTACAAGTGTTTGATTTCACCACCTCGACCCGCATGTGGCCCGTCCACCACTTTAACGATATCTTTCTTCTGGATGGTATTCTGTTGCGAGTCCAGAGCAACCGCGTTCCTGTTTTCTCGACGCTTCGTGAGACCTTGCGGCCTCGCTTCGACCACCTTCCCATGCATGGAGAGCACGTGGAAATTCTCGCGTTCCAAACGAACGATAACGCCGACCGTTTGCGCGTCGAGTTGCACCAAATCACCCCATTGGAACTGACCTAAACTGTCGACGCCAGTTGCCATGTCCGAGCACAGTTGTAGGTCCCTAGGGAGAACCTCCAGCTCGTGCATCGACAAGTCAGAGAATAAAACCACTCTATTTTGCTCTACCCTGACTATTAAGCCGGTGTCACCCTCGTACCTCCCTGCGACAACCTGCCGATTAATTAGAATAGTAATGTTAAGCAATCCTTACGAATACGTATCTCTTAAGATCGCGTGAATTCTTATCTAGTCACTCGATATTTTACCTTAACATGATCGCCCATCGTGAAGTATTTTCGCAACTCAGAAGCTTGGAATTCCAAGGCTTCTTTTAGTTCTTCGTGTTTCGGCATGACCATTATCATATTTCCATCTATAGAGACAATTTTTCCTTGTAGATTGATCAATTCACCCTCACATACTTCTACGTTATCTCCGTTGCTGAAGGAGTGAGTGATTTGATCTTCCTTCCCGGAAACCCCGGTCCCTGGCGTTCCGCTTAAATCTATTTCAACGCCTTCCGGCGTTTCTTCGAATCTCTCTAATTCGGAGAGTGTAGGCTTCACACCTTCCGCAATAATAGCACTTGTGGTGAAATTTTTATAAAGAAATCTGTATGAAAGAAAATATGATTAATATAGGAAACTAGACCAAGATCCTACACGTGTTACCAAGAAATATGATAAGAAACAAACCCTTTACGGCTGTATCTGTTTCCTTCGAATATAAGGAAATCTCCGTCGCTGGTCACTTCTCCACCAATGGCGCGGATTGCCTCAGGATCGAACGGCTTCGCCGGTGGTCGTCTCTTCTTCTTGCGTTTCAGAGCTTCAGATTCGCTTTGCGCTGTTCTTAAGGCACCACGCGGTCGAGTATAGTCGATTCTCGGCAATAATTTCAGATGCACCTGATTTTGCGCCAAGTCAACATAATCCACTTGAGCTATGTCGTCTTTGTAAATGCCCCGTTTCAAACGAACCCACTGTTTGGCTTTCAGACCGGTTTGTTCTTTGACAACTCGTAACACATCCGTCATTTCTTTAATCGGCACCATTTGCTGTTTCCATATACCCATCCTTAGACTTCCGACGCTCTCAATAGCGGCTTTTATGTGTGCCTGTTTGAAAGCCTCTATATAAATGTATCCTTTAACACCTTCGGGTGCCACGATAGATTTAATTTGGAGAGGTTCTCCTGAAATTTTAAAACACAAGAGTCATTGCAGATGAGTAGAATATAATTTGACAAGTATAACTTGATACTTTCTCGAAATATACATCTTACCCGAAAATTGATATGTAATAAACTTTCGCATCAGTAGGAGCACAGTAGATTTTTCTTCTCCTATACGACATTTCACCATCCACAAGTTTGGATCTTTCACGCCAGGCAGTAGAGTTTGTTGGGTGATTTCGTCGCCCATCTCTTCACCACCATCACCAAAGCGATGGGCGGCAAGTGATTCGTCGGCATATTTTTTTCGAAAATATTCTCCAATTTCATCTTCTTTCTGCGAGCTGAAAAAAATGTGTTTCTTAAGAAAAAATAAGAGACAAAATTGCTCATGTTAAGACACAAGTAATATGGAAAGAATTTAATGTTATGTTTATGGAATCCTCATACTTACTCCCAGAGATTTGTACCTCTACGTCGTCCTTCAATCTCACGTGCAGTTGGTCCTAATTCATCCACCTCATTTCCTACGATACCAATTTCTTGGGCACCTTCCTCCCATTCATCATCATCTTCCACTTCGTCATCTACTTCAGCCTCATCAATGATGAAGCCACCAAATCTATCTTTTTTCTTCTTCTTTTTCGGCCTGTCTTCGTCTTCCTCATCTTCTTCTTCATCATATTCACTGCTATTATCCAAATCTTCTCCTATAATCATGAAAATCTACTGTAAAATCGATTTTTTTAGAATATATTAAAAATTGACAGCTTTTCAGTTTGTACCCTCAGGTTCCTCCTCTGGTTCTACAGCTTCCTCGTCACCCGATCTGACTTCCTCTGCCTCATCTATCTTAGCATCTCCGTCTTCAGAGCTACAGACAAAATTATCATTTCTGTTTTTGTTCAGAGAAATATAAATATAGGTACTTCTAAAAAAGCATCTAGTAGTAGATACAGTTTAATCTTGCACAAGGAATATCACTTTGTATAAGCTAAGTAACTTATGTAACAGATGTGTAAACAAACTATCCCAACGAGGAATGTATGATTTGTTTTTTTTAGCTGAATTAGATGTACTATTTCAAGAAATTTACGTATACATTGAAGCGTATGATGTGTATGAACAAGATTTTTATATTTCAGTTTGCATAAATTTCTTGTACTAGTATAGTTAGTTTAGCTAAAAAGAACACGCCAATAATTAACCTTAGCAGTATTCAGCAAAAAGTGAAAACCGCTATTTAAATAACAAAAGGGCAAAATATTCGACACATAGCAGGTTTAAAGAAACAAAAGAAAGTTGCAGTTAACATATGGAATTTAGAGAAAGTATCCATATCCAGATGTTATCGTAAGAATAATACGATACGGTTAGGTTAGAAATGTCAACTTACCCAGACGGCGATCGGGAACGTGAATGAGACCTGGATGGACTCCTGGATCGTGAGCTAGAACGGCTCCTGCTACGGGAGATACTCCGGGATCTTTCTACGGGACTTCCCGTGTCACTAACCGCTGCAAATTTTATCATATGATATCATTTCACATGTTACATGCTACCATGAATGCTATTTTTATTTACGAAATATCACAAATATTACCTTCTGAATCCGACATTTCAACGTCGTTTGTTCAGGATTGTCAGGTTTTGGAAGCACTAAACCATCAATCCACTCAGAACGACGAATAAAGGTCTCGTGAGCACGCGCACAAAACACACCCGAACTACTCGGCTATTCTCGCGAAACTGCAAGACTTAACGCACAAGTGTTGCGAACTAAAAATTTTTATCCCTACTAGATGGGTATTTGTTTTCCACTAGAAATCTACTGTATTCGTTTTCGCTGCACCGCTGAACTAGTGCAATAGGTTAAAGTGAGAAAACATATACTTGTCTCGCTTCAACTTATTGCACTAGTTCAGCGAACAGATCTTCTATCAGGTACGTGGCTTGCATTATATTAAAATATGAGAAACATCTTTTTTACTTCATTTTCAAAAATTGTTAATATTATACCCTCACACACACATACACAGCAGAAATGTCCAAACATACCACATAAGGATGAATTTAAGATGTCAAGATATCTTTATGATTTTCTTATGATAAATGTTGAACATTTCAGTTGTGTAGAACTATAATATGTACAATATATTATTAATTAAATTTTTGTAGATATCTCATTACATAATAATGAAGAGAAGGGAATTAGTCTTAATCAAGAGAAATGCGGATGGCAAAATTATACTCAATGATAATAATAACGTTACATGCGTTTCTGAAGGTTATATCTACAGTAGACTCCCGTATAACGCGAGTTCTTACAACACGAATTCAAATAGTAACGTAATAACTGCGTTATATGGGAGTCTACTGTATATACTAAATAGTACCTAATCAATTATAAGACTGATATTCATGATATATTTGCAGGTGGTGTACAATTTGAATTAAATTATAACGTGATAAATTTTAACTGGACAACTTGGAGTGTTGTGTAGATGGTAGAACAATATTGATACTGTTACGTAACAATGACAGATTTGATAACGAATCAAATAAAGAAAATGATTCTGTATTTAATGAGCCAAATGAAGTAGCATTTGGTTGGGATGACTAAAGCACAAAATTATTTTTAAGTTTGTACAAGGATGGAAATGAACAATTAAAAAATAGAAAAATTAAAACTAAAAAAATTATGTGGAACAACATATCATCAGAAATGCAAAAACACGGATATAATACAACCGCACTACAATTGGAAAATAAGTATAAATCACTCGAGAGATCATACGAGAATATGATTTCCAATAATAAAAAAACAGATAGAGGCCGTATGTCATATGAGTATGAAAATATTTACATAATATATATGTTAATGGATTCATTGATATGTGAAGTGCTAATATATACATTTATTTTAATTATTATAGGGGATTGTCAGGATGATTAAAATCGAAACATAACATACAGCCAATGGCTGTATGTGGTAGTGAAGGCCTAATTGTGACAGAAGACCAAAGAACATATATATATATTCATAACTTAATATATATTATATTTCAGATCTGGTAGGACGTTGAAAAGTTACGGCTGAGAAACATATTTTATGCTTCCTGTGGTATGTTGGTCACGAAAGTGCATCATATAGAGATGTGGCAGACAGATTTGGGATAACAATTAGCACTTTATACCAAGTTATTAGTAGAGTAACACAATTTCTTCTGTCTCTTGCGCCTAATTACATCAAATATCCCATCGCAGCTGAAAAACTAGAAACTGCTCTTTTATATTACATATTTTTTTTTTTGTAAACTGTGTTAAGTTATAGATTATTTTTGATAAATAAAGTTTTGTAACAGTCTAATATGGTGACAATCCCATTTTTATATTGTAAAACAATGAGAAAACAATTTGTCCTAAAGTTACTTCTACTCAAGAGGTAACTTTAGGACAAGAAAAAGGTGGGATTATTTTTAAACTCTTGACTTGGGAGTGAAAATATTGGTGAATTTAAAGAAAATATCATCATATTTACTTAACTAATACAGTGCAAAACGGTTCGTAACAGTCATTTGAACAGAGGAGTACAGAAAGTGCGAAAACCATACCAAAGTTTACGGTACTTCATTTACATAACTTCAAAATCACTTTATTGAGGGAAAACAATATTGTTTTACAACGCTTCTATTATACGCAATGTAAGCATAACTAGTGTTTGTGTAATTGCATGATTCTGTAGAAATAAAAATTTTTGTAACCTGCTGATTTATCGAATAAGAGTAATATTCAATCACAATCACAACAATTCAATCACAACGTGATACTACGCGATATGATACATGCTTCAAGGTGGATTTATTTTGATTATTTCAACTCACGATATTATGTATAAATGGAAAATATGAAATATATTTTAGTTATGAAGTAATTTTTGCAAAATTATGTGCTAGTCACCAATATTAAATATCATAGCTTGTTATCATCGATGAAAGACAGTTTACATAGTTACATAATATTCCGTAAATTATCCATATCAAGTAGAAGCCGGCTAGCGTTTTCACAATTCTGTCTATCCACACCATTCTGAAGTTACCGGAAATGAAAACATTATTTTATTTATGTAAACAGCAATCACAAGTCGCGAATCATGTCAAATGGAATAATTTTAAAATACAATGGAATAATTTTTTACAACATCTTGTTCTTATTAATCAATCACATGATAAAAATTTGGGAAATTGAAAAACACTATTTTTTTTATTAATGCATTTACTGTAATGACTGAAATATTTAAAAAGGCTGTCTATGATATTTCTTTGGAAGCGCAGACAAGGAACGTCGTATATATCGTCCCTTACAGAAATTTTATACTGAGAATTATTAAGAAATTTACAATAATAAAATATTGGCAATATATCAGTAATTATTTGGCCAATACATTATCACTGGTTAATACATTTTAAAGTATATACATAAAAAGATTATATGTGTTATTTTGTGTTAATAATGTGATTTTATGAATTTATAATGTTAATAATAAAATAAAAGTAATGAAATAAGGAAAAACGAAAAAAAAATGCAGATTCTGAATAGTATTAAACCTGGGTGATCTAGTCAGCAGTCAGACATCCTAAATCTTTTGATACCGCAACACTTGCTTGGTGTATACACATTATCTACTATAATTTCACTGTTTTCTTTCTGTTAAATTACTGCAAATTCAGTAATTCTCCATATTAAATTTCTGTAAGTGTATTTTGTCACTATTGTGCTGTTAAGCGTTAGAATTTAAGTATTCATATTAATGATAAAGTATATTTAATCACTACAACTCTGAGCACTGAAATATTCGGAATTACTGCAAACTCTATAATTTAATTATTACGAATTACTAACAACAGTATTTTAAATATTCAAAATAAATAATTAATCACTAGCTAGCAATAATAAATTTCTGTAAGGGTACATACATATTATTATAAAAAAATTGGATCGTTAGTTAAACTTACAACTTATAACTCGGTGGAAAAAGCTTTAGGGCGTATAAAGCACTATAAAATCGAAAATCAAGTGCTTTCCGTGATCTTACCTGTTAAAATGTGATTTTGCTGCATCCAGTTGATCCATACTTTCGTTTAGAAGATAGATCTTAGATCCAATTATAGCATTTCTACATGAAAGATAAGAAAAATGACTTTATATATCAGCAAATTAATGTCAGTGTTATTTTCTAATGAAAGTGAAAGTATATAATAGACTTCTCGCTTACTCGTAGTACGTATCATTGTATATATTGAAGTTCTTATCATTTAGGTTCCTTAAATATCCGAACTCTCGTTGATCGTCAGGTAGTATCTCATCTGACAAACTTTTTATTTTTTCATTTCGTATATTCCACTCGTTCAGCATAAAATACGCCACAATTTGATTAGCTACGAAAATTTTCCTTTGCACTTTTAACAATCTAAAAAAAGAAATAATCCGGGGCAAATTAATTCAACGGACATACTGAACACGCATTTCGCCCATGTGTTCATCATGAAAGAAACATTTGAAGGAAAAGAAATTTCTGAACGTTTCTCTTAATACACAAGAAATTTTTCTATGTCTTAAATGGAATATTTTAATAGCAATTTGCTGCTGTTTCCGACAAAATAAGTAAAGTAGCGAAACTGACATGAATGATATGACGTTTGTTTCAATTTATCTATATTTTTCTTGTATATTCAATAGACTTCACTTTTCGCAATACCTAGTACACTCTCGCACGCGTTTGGGAAATCATTCTGCTCAGAAACTTTAAAATTTAGATCTCACCTCGGTTTTCTACCTGACAGTCGTAGCAATCCGTCAATGACCAAAGCTGGCATTATGTGGACCAGTAATGTTAGCAAATAATAGAAGAAGTAGCTCTTTGTAAAGGTTACACTAGGTCTCCACATTATATTATCGAAAGGATTTTTTTTCCCAAGAGATAAACCCATCTGTCTGGACTCCTCAAATGTTAGAGTCGTAGAGTAAGTAGCAGCGCAGTTATATATAAATGGAAAATCGTCCTGCGTTTCCCTGATAAAAATTGTAAGTAATTCTTTATCTTGTAATTCGTTCCATGAGAACAACAACTACTAAAACTGTCCGTTATTTCCTCAATTAGAACTTTGCCTTTCTTGTAATATTATACTATGCTTGTTTAATGGAACATAATATATCATACGTCATTTTTGTTCCATGTTTCCATGCCGCAACGATCATCATCTTGGTGACGATATCGATCGGCACATAATTGTTCCGCGTCATTCGATCTGCATATAAAATTCTCAGCACTCCTTTTCCTATGCCAATATGTATTGAGATCGGCCCGTTGAAATTGTCTATCCATCCTTTTATGGGTTCGTTTAATGATGATACGACTAGGTGAGAAATAAATTTGTAGAGAATATTTTTTAAAGACAAATACGTCAATAAAAATGAAGACTCGGATTAAAGAGTTTAATTGAAAATATACGAGTTTTTGAAAATGAGAAAATACGAAAGTCGCATAAGAATAAAGTTTGAAAAGCCAGCCTTAAAGCCATGAAGAGAAACATGAAGATTTTCTAAATCATTTTCGATATATGACGTGTAAAATTCAGTAATAGACAGGAGATTAACGTGACAGGCATAAACACATTAACTTTTCCCATTAGAAAATGATTATTTAAAGCAATGGGAAATTATTTATAATTCATGAAATTCTGGATAAAAAATTAATTTAAAAAAGAAAATTTGATGAGATAGTAACTATGACTATGGAATAGTACTACTGTGATAAAAAAATATCGGAAATTTATTTTTAAAAATCAAAATAAAAATTTAATCATTAAAATTCTTATAGTTGTTTTCAAAGTAGTCCTCATTGCTTGCAACGCACATATGCTAGCGTTTGATCCAGTTCTGGAAACATCGCTCATACGCAGCAGACTATATATGGCCTTCGGTTCACGCAGCGATTTTTCTTTGATTTCCTCGATCGATTCGAAATGCTGTCCACGAAATGGTTTTTTTAGTAGGGGGAACGGGAAAAAGTCGCAGGGTGCCATGCCCAATGAATACAGTGTTTTCGCAACAACATTCGTTAAGTTTTTGTCAGAAATTCACGCACAAGTGTCGAAGCATGCGATGGTGCGTTATCGTGATGCAAAATCCGCGAGTTTGTTTCCCACAATTCCGGCCGTTTCTTACAGATTGCTGTGTGCAAACGCCTCATGACAGACAAGTAGTATTTTCCAATGATTTTTCGACCAGTTGGAAGGAACTTCTGATGCACAATACTGCGACGATCGAAGAAAATCGTGAACATGACCTTGACTTTTGACTGCAAAAAGCGAGCTCTCTTCGGTCTTGCTTTGTTTTTAATACGCCATTTCGATAATTGTTGGTTTGTTTCGACGTCATATTGGTAAACCCATGTTTCGTCACCAGTTATGATTCGTTTTATGTATGTTCTTTCTCTGGATACCATAGAAATCATCTCGGACCACACCAATACACGTTTCTTTTTTTGGAGAAAATTCAGGTTCGTCAAAATCAAGCACGATGCGATCCGTTTCATATGCAGTACGTAAGACAATTTTCACATTGAGCGCGAGCGTGGCATAACAGACAGCGCACTGGTCTCGGATTCAATCCCGGTGGAAACCGAAAATATTTACGCCTCCTTGTGTCTCCTCTCGGAAGGCAATGACAAACCACCGAGAGTATCTTTGCAAAGAGCACCACTTTAAAATAATATGCCGTTCGGAACCGGCGTTAAACTATAGGTCTCATATGCCTATATACAATCAGCGTGCGCACCACAAGCATATGAGAGAGTTCACCACGCTTCTGCAAAAAAGCAATAGGACTTAGAATATTTTGGACAAAATGTGCTGACACGATCCAAATGATATTCCAAATTCATCTGCTATCTCTCGCACAATCAAATAACGATTTTCGAGCACCAATTCTTTCACTTTCTCAACGTGAGCGTCATCCGTTGACATTGATGGTCTTCCAGAACGTGGGTCCTCTTCAACAAAGTTTCGGCTTTCTTGAAACTTCTTAAACCACTCAAACGTACTTATTTTCGATAAACAATTATCGCCATAAACTTTTTGCAGCTATATTTTGAATGCGTTTGTGAACAAAATTTTGTTAGCAACACACAATTTCAAACAAATTCTTTGCTTTATATTTTTCGATATCATAAAAATCGCCGCGCACAAAAATCTTCACTAACATAAACAACTGCCACACTCAAACGGCTTGAAGGAACACCATGATTTTTTCACCAAATGTAAAGGACACGGTACCAATTTAACCAGTTAACTGTGGCGATCTCTTTGCAAAGCGCCCACCAGTGTGTGTCGCGATAATCAAGCGAGTTAGCTCTCAGGAAGTTATAAATCCAACTCAAATTATTTATAATTTTCATTTGTTTGTTTCATTTCGTCTTGACCTCTAAACATTTTACCCATATTAAAATTTACGAATATAATTTAGTTTTCGCCAGAATTACAATTTAAATATCAAATTGTAACAAAATTTTACGCATGACGGATATAGTCGTCATGACACAAGATTCTGCCACGTCTCCATGACGGATATAGTCGTCAAACACACTTAACTGGTTAAGAAAGCGAACGGATTTGATTTATAGTTGTCTCGCGATTAAAAAAAAATAAAGTTCGGATACTTTTTGATCACATTATGAGATATATAGAATAAGGTATAAGGGATAATAGTATATAAAGTATTTACACTGCATAAATGCAGTATATTTATTCATAATACTGTACCTAAAGACGGTCTGCATATTACGCACGGCAACGATCGAGAATAATCGACTATTATCTGTTCCGCAAGTCTTTTGGAAAATACATAGTGATTTGGTAACTTGCCCAAGTATCTATAAAAAATTTAGTATTTAAGCGTTTCCAATTGCTCCAAAATATATTCTGAATATACCAGAAGTTGTCGAATTGACTATTACAAAAGTCATATTGAGTACAAATTTAAAAAATTGATTAAGCGCTACTTGCAAAATCGTTCCCTGAACGATGAATTCATGTCAACTTTATAACATCATACGTTATTCAGATATATAGAATGTCTTTGAACTAGTAATGCATGTAGCAAGATCATCGATTCAGATTTTCAAGCTTACTTTGACTTGAATACTTCCGATATGTCATCGTCCAAAGCCTCGGCAATTTGAATTGTTTTTCTCCAATCTGCTTCCACTGGGTGCACAGTTTCATCAATGACTACTTCGTCCAGTTTTGTATATGCCGTGCTGATGTGCACCAAAACCTTCCAAGGATAAAATTAAATACAATATATCGGCTAACGACACTCTGTATTAAACAAACGTTTACTTAAAAATTTACTCGCAAAATCGCAAAATTTTTGCCAAAAAAAACCAAGACTAATTTTTTCTTCCATACATACACACATTCACATATGCGTGCGTATGTCTTTTTAAATATTTACGGCTACTTACCGACAGATTCTTTATTTGTTCGCCTAGAATACAAATATCTCGCGTGGATCGCACATTTTTTAAGATAGCATTCTTCAATGTATTTTCGAATTTCACATAGGCTGCTATATGGAATATTACGGATATCTTCTCAATTAAAGTATCCCTATCGGCAGCTGACAAACCTAAACCCTTAAAGCCAATGTCACCCTCTATAGGAATCAATTTGTCGAAACAAGTTGGTTGTTTACGCCGCAACGTATCAAATAACTGAAGCAAATAATATGAGTGTAATTTAATTAAAATGACACTCAATCACCGATTACAGCTACGGATGTTACCGGGTTCGTCAACATTTGTCGGAGTCTCTCATTTATGTGGTCGCCTTTTTTTGGGCGTATTAACAAAAATATCTCTCCTATATCAGGACATGATCTCAACAGCTTTTCTATCAAACATTTTCCCAAGAAACCTGTAGCGCCCGTAATGAAAATGCTTTTCCCGGAATAGAAAGCCGGTATTGAGAGAGCCGAATCCATTTTGCCCATATACTAAAATCATAATAATAGGTCTGAAAGATAATCAGAAAGCATTTATCAGCGAGAAAAGCAGAATGTGCGTAAATTTATTGTTATATATATTTTTTTTAAATATTTTTATGTTATATATTGTGTTATATATTTAATATATATATATATATATATATATATATATATATATATGATATTTTTAGTTATATATATAATATATGTTATATATTTATTATTAATATATATGTTATTTGTACCTTTCGAGCTCGATACCCTCGCTTTTGCTTTTCTAGTGTCTGAATATGCGCCGTCTCGTTCTAAGTATGAAAAGGGTGAAAAATGCAAGCAATTCGAATAACCGTATACACATTAAAGTAGAGAAGATCCTGGATGCACTGACGCGGAATCCGACTACCGGCTGACATTATATACTAGCAATGACTTTGTTTCTAATGGATACAATTATTCATATTTGTAATGTTAATGAATATCTAATGAATATCATTCATATGATTTACATAATTATCATCAATAATGAATAATCAATATTCATACATATGTATGTATATAGGTTGTTCTTTTTTATGTAACGCCCTAAAATATCTCTTGAACAGTGCATTTCGGAGAAAAATGTTTGATACAAATATTGTATAGTTTGAAAGGAGACATAAGATGATGTCCTTGGATTGACCGTAGATATTCTTTTAAAAGTCGCATTATGGTCACCTTCAATTTTTTAAATGGAAATTCCTACTTCATATTGCATGCTCTTGTAGCTTATCTTGAGAGCTCCTCAAAACACTATAACAAAATATTTTTTTAATTTAATTTTTATTTTTATTTATTAATTTATTTTTTATGTTTATTACGAGGTTGGATCAAATATAAACGAGCCTTTTGTAAAAAACCATATATTTCTCAAAATCAATTCTAATTTACATTTTTCTTATTTCTCTACATAGTCCCCCATCTTATCTATATATTTTCTCCAACGGTCTGGTAATTTTTTAATCCCGGTATCATAAAAAGTTCGCGGACGTGCATTAAACCAATTGCACACAAACTGCTGCACCTCCTCGTTCGTTGTGAAACGCTGTCCACTAAGGGCTTCCTTGAGTGGCCCAAACATATGGAAGTCGCATGGTGACAGGCCTGGGCTGTAGAGTGGATGTTCTAGGACAGTCCAGTGCATATTGGCCAATTTTGGTACGTGTTACCACGTACATAAGGAGTACAACGACTCAATATGACCTGAAAATTTCTATCGCGATACGTCTCATTTCACACTTGATTCATAATCATCCGTTGTAATTAAATACACTTAAACTACTGTCTATTTACCTCTAGATCCACCACGTGTACCCATCATTAATCATACCTTGATGACCTTAAACATAAATTCCGAAGATGCACTAAACCTTGGTGTTGAACTTTTTGCTAAATACGGCTCAGTATTATCGGCACATTTCGGAATACAAGTTGTCATCTTCTTATCAGATGTGCAAGATATAGATATAATTTTAAATAATCTTAAGCACGTCAACAAGCCCGTGGAATATGTGTAAATAAATCCAATTAAATATATTTCCAGACGGAATATAGTCCAGATAGTCACGATAACGTTAAAATGTCGAGATAATGATCGAAAAAAGAGTTTTTATAGTTATTTTCTCGTCATTTTAATGTCATCTTTACATCATTAAAATTTTTTTATTCTGTCTGATTTGGATCATTAATCAGAATGAACCCATTTAGTTTTTCGTTTGTTCACAGTTTAAAGAGCCAGTTGCGCATAGAATTTCGATTCTACCTACATCTAAAATTATCCATATCGTTATAGATTCTATAAACTGTGGCTTCAGTATCATCATGTGAAATGTTGCTAATATCGTTTTTCTGTCTTTTAGCCATTTGGCGTCGTTATTAAGCAGCGTTATTGAGATGATGCTCAAGCATGCTGTTCAATAACGGCGCCACGTATCTAAAAAAATAGAAAAACGATATTAGCAACATTTCGCATGCAGATACTGAAGACATGCATGCCTCTGTTTTATGAGAACATGGTTTTGGTGAGGTAACTTGGCGATAACATCAACCAGCGATTCAATTGCCATAATTACTTATCGACGGTAACTGTTAATATATTGATGGAAGCAGAGATGGGAGTTAGCAGAAAGAAAATTCAAAACATCTATTTTAACTATACGGCTGTGATGAAGTAAGAGTTTTTATTTTGTTACATTGTAACTATTACCCGCTGTCATTTTGAAACTACGCATATAACGTTTCATTGCCTTATTTTTTAAATTCATAGACTGAGCAAGATTACGCAATGAAGATGATATTGCAAAAAGGCTTGGAAAATATTTGAACTTGTAGTGAAACGATGTCAATATTAACATTAATTTGCATTGTGGAGGCACGTGTGCACGAAAATGTGGACTCATTATAGCATGACAGCTACAAGCAGTGTACTTTCCAAGACACAATAGAAATGAAATATTTAGAGAGCGTTATACTAGAAGACATTAAGGCTTTTCTCTCCAGTACTGCTATTCTCTAGGAAGCTTAATGGGGGCATATGGATAGATAATCCTATCCAAATAAGTTCGATCGTGTCGCTGGTCGATGCGTGTATAAATACACGTATTACAAATTCGACTTAGACACAAAAGGAATCATCTTTATGTCAAAGTTACAGACAATTACGTTCATCCTAAAGATTCCACTGTTATAATATTACCATTCGTGCTATAACGCACCGAAAAATATTACCCAAATCCGTTAGTTTTTGAACCGGACAACTACCTACCGGGTAACATGCAGCAGAGAAATAGTTTATATTCCCTTCAGCGCCGATCCGAGGTAAAGAAGAATATGTAAATACCGAAACATCTTAAGCTTATTATGAGCGTGGCATGCATAGTTTTGAATGTGTAATTGTCATATCTATTAATGTTTAGCTCTTTTTCCGGAGATCGTGTTTGGGATGAAAATATTCTATGTTGGAATTGAAGGTTTTGTTATCAACACTATTGAAGAACTAACGCATTACTTCTGATGTATCATATCAAGACTTTATTATATATTCCAGAAATAGATGATACTAAAAGTAAGATACAAATAATACATTCCAGAAATAAATGATATTCAAAGTAAGATACAAATAATCCTTGTTATTTAATAAATGGAACTAAACTAAACTAAATTATTTTAAACGCGTATCCCTTGAAATGAGTTTTTTCAGACGCACTGATAGAATACAATATAAACTATTAATGATATCTATATGCATTTTGCGTCAAAGTATGTATTAAAAGATACTCTATTATTTGACGTTTTTATATTTTTTTCCTGCATATATTTTGTGTAGTTTAAGAAAAATTTATTAAGACTAAAAAAATTTTCCTAAAAAATCGATGCTGTTTTCTTGAACTTGCAGTACTTTTTAATAAACAGAAATTTTAACTTTTTAGAACGTCATGTAATGTTTTGGGATTTCTAGTTTAAGAATCTAATTGGATTCTTTTTTATTTCAGATCATCGTTTAACTGAAAGCTGTCAATTTGAAATGCCTGTTTTCATTGGAAGACCTTTCTTTAACAATTAATAACTTTGCAATAAGTAAAAATACAATAAATGTTATAAAAATATTTGGAAAATTTTATACTATTCATTGCGGTAAACTGTTTCCTTTTAACTGATTATAATTTTCTAAAAAAATATTGTTAAATATATCTTTATTTTTGTGGTATTTATATTGGTTTCCCATATTAATATATTTTAAAAGACTTTCCATATTAATATATTTTAAAAGACTATCTTATCCAAATTACAGTAATCTGACGAATTTCCTTGTTATATCAAACGGCAGCAGAGCTAATACGTAGAGTTGGATTAACTGGGGAGACAGGACTACCGTGAACTTCCAAATCGAAGTCAGAAGTTGATAAAGAATTTCTCATCACTCTATTCCACCTATTGGAATTCTCGTTGGAAACATATGTTTGTGCAATCGTTGGTTCGTTGATTTCTGGTCTTGCTTGTGCTCGTAATGCCTCTTGATGTATAATAATTTCGTTGGTAACATATGCTTCGCGACGTATTTTGTCACGTAATTTTGGACTCATATCAGGAATGCACCATCGTACGAGGATCATCACGAGTGCTACAATGTTCTAAAAAGTATGTAAATAATATGATGATTTAGTAACTGTTGATATAATGTAAATAATGCAAAAAGAAAATATAAATATTTTCTCAACAGATTTTAATGTCAATTTTACGTGAAAAATGTTTTCAGTAAAATTGTATGCTTGTATGCAATAGTCATCGAAATCCAAACATTTTAACATCTAGATTAATAAATAAATAAATAAATAAGAAATATTACATAGTTATTTATTAATTATTTAATTAAAGATATAAATTGCATTAAATAGCTTCTAACGCTATTTCCTAATCAATGAATATTTTATTAATAGAATTGTTTAAAAACATGAAAAAAATTACTTTTAATAATATTAGCGAGATAAAATTCGTAAATGTCATAATATATAATTGATTTTTATTTTAAAAGTTATAAAATAAACGTTGTAATTTTATTTCTTGTAAATATTAATAGTAAAAAAACAAATATAAGTGTGAAATGTATTCATTATCACAGTTGGAAAATGATCAGTCAAACATTAATATCCTCTTACAATTCAAATTTAGCATGAATATTGCAATCAGTTCTAATTGGCTAAAATACTCGACAAAATATTCGTATCAAAATACGATTTAATCTTAAGAGCTTTATAACAAGATTAGTTTAATTTAATTTGAATTGAAGACAGAGAAAGAGGGAAGAGGCGACGGCGAGTATATCCTGCGGGAGCACACTGAATGATTCTCTCTCTCTCTCTCTCTCTCTCTCTCTCTCTCTCTCTCTCNCCACAAGCCGAAGACGATACTCTGTGTGAATGCATGTGCATGTGTGTGTGCGCATGTATGTGTGCGTGCTTGCGTGTGCGTGTAAATGTATATAATAAAAAATAAATGTTCAAATGAAGACTTTTAAAGGGATGTAACATAATAAGACTCAAGTGCCTTCTATCAAGTCATATCGCCCGATGGAGGTCAATTTTTGATATTTGAGCCGCTGTAACTCAAAAACTTAACTTTGTGGGCTGGTGCCCATTGAGACTTTTGATCAACGAGTCAAAATCGTACCAAAATTTCAGCCAATTTAATCGAACAGTCTTTTGCATTGGTTTTGTGCGAGATCCTTTGTCTTATTAAACAGACTGTATAATTTCCAACTTGACAATATAAGTGTTACATATAATACATGTTTTATATAATAGCTATATTATAATTTCCCATAGAGTTGGTGTTGTTGGTGTATGTTGTTATTGTGTATTTTATATTTCTCTTTCTGTTCAAAAACACTATTCCAATTGAATTCATAAAATATATGTTTATATGAAATAAATCTGTATGAATATTCCAAGAAGTTTTCAGGAATTCCACTTATGGTGCATGTAACTTCCTGAATCATTCTTCTAATATAATATTCTTCTATGAATTCCTAAAGAAAAGTATAATTTCACGTGCGAGAAAATGAAAACTTCAGAAATACTTAAAAATTCAACGTACCATTGGGAGATAATCTAAATATAGCATATATTTAAATTAAACAACGTACCTCAAAAACAACGATGAAAGCTAATCTAGCCGCTAGTACATGCCAGAACATAATAGTATACTCATATTTATTTGATGAGTTTGGTGGTTCTCTGTAATCCGGATAGCGGCAAATGTCGACTGAAGGTTGATCCTGCGAGACCATTGGCTGTGTGTTATTTTTCAAATCACTAGTATTGAATTTTGACAAAGAATGTTCCAGAAAACCTTCTAAAGAATAATTGTCAGAAACCGTCATACGATAAACTAGCCTTGGTATGAAGTTCGAAGTAAAAGCTATGATGAAAGCCTGAAAAAGAAATAGTTTGAATTTAACAAACAGATAACATAATTGGTAAACAATAGTTAATTAAATTAAATAATAAAATTCCGGGTAATATATGCTTCCGCTGCACTAATTTTTGATAAACAGTTATACAACGACGATATATGATTATATAAATTGATAATTCTTTCTTGTTTTGCTTCAAAGCAAACACGCCATTTTAACGTTAGATTTTAGTTTTCTATTTATCACTATTGATAATACTAAATGATAACTTCAGGATGTAAAAATAAGTCTAATATCATAAAAAGTTGACATCATCAAAGATATATGAGATATCATTTTATGTGTTTATTATAAACTATACATATAAAAAATAGGATTTTTGAAATTTAATAAATTTTGATGATTTGAATAAATCTTGATAACTTTTCTATGGATGAAAAGATGGAGAATCAAAGCTAACGAAGCTAAGTCAGTACATGTTACTTTTACGACAAGACAGGGAAATTGCCCACCTATTAAATTGTACAACGTGGTATTACCACAGGCGGAGCATGTACCAGGTGTAGAAGTATGAAATCGGAATTTCCCTATAAATGGTGCTAGCCATCAGTTTAGGGACCGTAAGACCGCTTCTGCAGCGCCATCATCTCCCTCTAACAGCTAACGAAGATTTTCAACACACAACAACCCAAGTTCCATACACAGGTATATTTTTCTATAACTTTAAACATGTCGAGTTTTGTGCCTACGAACTACGATTTGCGGACAGCATCGGTCTTTTGTTATCATTTGAAGAAAACTGCTGCAGAATCGCATCGAATGCTTGTCGAAGCTTACGGTGAACATGCTCTTGGTAAAACACAGTGTTTCGAGTGGTTGAAAAAATTCAAAAGTGGTGATTTTGACGTGAGAAACGAAGAGCGTGGAAAACCACCGAAAAAGTTCGCAGACAACGAATTGGAAGCATTATTGGATGAAGATGATACTGAAACTCAAGAAGAACTCGCGGATGAATTGAATGTGACGCAGAAAGCTGTCTCAATTCGTTTGAAAGCCATGGGAAAGATTCTAAAAGTGGGAAAATGGGTTCCGCATGAACTGAATGAAAGACAGCAAGAAAATCGAAAAACCACTTGTGAAATGCTGCTCGACAGATAGAAAAGAAAGTCCATCGTATCATGACAGGTGATGAAAAATGGATATATTTTGAGAATCCTAAGCGTCAGAAATCATGGGTGAATCCAGGCGAACCATCGACATCCACTGCAATTGCTTTGGAAAGAAGACAACGCTCTGTGTTTGGTGGGATCAGAAGAGTGTAATCTATTATGAGCTGCTAAAACCTGGTGAAACCGTTAACACTGATCGCTACCAACAGCAAATGATCGATTTAAATCGAGCATTGCGTGAAAAACGACCGGAATATGGAAAAAGGCAACACAAAGTCATTTTGCTCCATGATAATGCTTCATCACACACAGCAAAACGGGTCAGGGAAACGATTGAGGCGTTCAGTTTGGAAATATTAACACATGCGTCTTATTCTCCAGACTTAGCTTCGTCCGATTATCATCTATTCGCATCAATGGGACACGCTCTCGCTGAACAACGCTTCAATTCGTATGAAAATGTACGAAAATGGCTCGATAGCTGGTTCGCTTCAAAAGAAGAAATGTTTTTTTGGCGTGGCATTCATAAACTGCCGGAGAGGTGGGAAAAATGTATAAATAGCAATGGACATTATTTTGAATAAAATATTTTTTATCATTTTCAAACAACAGACGTGTAATTTTTACAAAAAAATTCCGGTTTCTTACTTCTACACCTGGTATATTTACCGTAACCATCTTGTTTTATGACGTTAGAAGCCAGAAAATCCATGTCCAAAATTCTTGCGGTATACGTTCAGATAAAAAAAATCACCCACAAAATGATATTTGTGATCGATTCAGCATACTTCTAAAATATTATGAACACTTTTAAAAGTATGCTGAATTAATCATAAATGTTATTTTGTGAGTATATCTTTCGATTTGAACGTATACCGCAAGAATTCTTGACATGTGTTTTCTCGTTTCTAATATTATCAAACAAGACGACTACAAAGAGGGATCAAGAACCTTAAAATTAACCTAAAACATATTCTTTTTCTTTTTTAAAGACTGACAAGGTTAACCTGACTGTAGCAATTAATAAGAATATTTACTTAACAAAACTTTTGAATTTGTTTTCAGATATGACAAATTGATCTTCTATTCTTTCTTACCTGAATAAAAATAATAATTGGCGATTGTAACATTTAAATATAATAATAATAAATATAAATGAAAATTATACTTACATTGGTAATGACGGATAATTTAGAAATAGAATCCAGAATGCGATACCAGATACCTATATCTCTAACACGCTGTCCAACTGGCCTTCTATACATGGTTAGCAATTTTTTTGCATCCAATCTCATCTCAAAAACGTTATTTAATAGTGCGAAAAATGGTGCCAAGGGAAACGCAGCAACAAAAATTGTGACAAATCCATACTGTAACACTAAAAAAATTTATTACATTTTTAAACGGACAAAATACTCTCTTAATTATCTCCTTAAATCAATGCTTGGAACTATTTGTATAAACGAGGCGATTTTCGAGGGCTACGTCTCCTTATTTCTTTCTGCCGCTTCAAGGCAACTCATCCCATAGGCCACGCAATTGACAGTTTCGATGAGGATTTTTTAGATAATAAGGGAGCGTATACTTTTCTCGACTTCAAAAAATCAATTTTTTTTATTACATATTTTGAAAGATTAACATTTCAAGAACGTATATCCGAAGCCGTTTGAAGAAATTCGACAAATTGACGAAGTTACAGTATTTTATACTGACCGTTACGGTTATTTGGACTATTTCGAGGATTAATAGGTTATTAGTTTTTCTTTATAAATAAAAATTAAAATCATGCTAAAAAGGTACTGAACTTATTTATACATCTAATACAACTTTTGTCTGAAACTATCTTTCTGGACAATGTATTGTTTTTGAAATATTTGAACGTGCGAGAGTTTTAGGACAATTCATGCTGTTGTATAATGTAAAATATGTATTATTTTATATAGTTACCCATTTCTAAGTATTCAGGAAAAAGACTTCTAGGACCCCATTGAACCAATTTATAATCTTTAATCCATTGCAGAAATTTTCGAGATGAATATCTCTTATCATTATCTTTTAATCTTCTCGAGCCTACATGAACTTTCAGAGTATTCATCCACTTGTAAAATAACGGGAAAAGCATCTCCAAAATAGTATTCATGGCCTGCTTGCCAATCATAATAATACTTAGTTGAATGCATAGCTCCAAGAGACAGCCGCCTGGTCCGCATTCCTCTTGTCGCAAGTCAAAAAAACGGTTATATTTTCCTGGATAACCAATAAATTTTCCTTTAAAAAACGCTATGTAAAATATGGAAGCATAATAATTAACGAACTCCAATAAATAAATTTTTAGAGTCAAGCTGTCATCAAACTCAGTTTGCGTACGAAGCAGTTCGATCTGAAAGCAATATAAAAAAGAAGTTTTTTATAAGATTAAAATGAGAATATATACATAAATTCTTTATTTACGAAATATATGATCAACTTATTTAACCTTAGATCACTAAACTTAAATAAGTGTTATTCTGTCACTAATCATTTGACTCATAGACTACGAATTAAAAACATGTATATTTTTTATATCTTCTTTATTTATTACAAAGTAGCAGAACTTAAAAGATATATTATTAGTTAATTAAAAAATAGAAAAGCATACAAAATTAACTTATGCATTCTTCGCAGATGTTAACAGTGTGCTCCCCACAAATAACTTCGTATTTTTGTAGCGTTTTTTGTCATTTTGCGTTTCTGTGATGGACAGAAAGTACAAATTCTGTGTTTGTTTGATGGTAGACAGTAGACGAAAATTTAGTGATTTAAGGTTAACTGCTTATTTTTTCGATTTTTCGATAAAACTTTAATCAATATTATATTAATGCTTATTACAATATATACAGAGTGTCCCAAACTAATTTTGGTCCCCGCGGTGTGCAGGTAGAACGGATGAAACTGAGTAAAAAAAGTCATGTGCCATTTTGCATGATTCACAATAGTTAATGAGGAATTATATATACTATTTTCAAAAATTGCTTTTACTAACTTCTTAACAATGAGCGACGGCTAAAACTTTTTGAATGTTACTCAGGGCAGTGAGCTTGACAACATATATCAAGGTCAAGAACATCGAGGCTGGGTCCGTTATTGTCAAAATTTACCAAATATTTTTGCGTTATTCGAATTTAAGTTGAAATTTTTATAAAATATTACCTCTGTCAAGTATTCTGCAAGCCAAACGTAGATCCAATTAAATAAAATGATACAACAAAGATTGATGCTTGCAGCAGTCGCAGTGGTAAATAATATAGCATAACTAGTTACCATAGGATGCCCATAAACGCTTAATGCAGTTAAAACAGACATCCTATATAGAACTACTCCAAGTACCGCAGCCATTGCTACAGCTATCTGTAAAGAGTTATAATATAGAGTTATGCACACACACACACACACACACACAGAATATCCTATTTTAACTTAGACATTAAAATATCTTGAAAATAATGGATTTCCGAAAAAAATGTTTCAAATAAAAGTTGTATGATTTGAAGACGGATCACATGTGTGTGTGTGTGTGTGTGTGTGTGTACAGAATGTTCTTCGAGGAAACCAACAAACTTTTAAAATGTGTTCTAAAATTCAGACTAAGCAAAAAAAGTTCGAATATAGTACAGTTAAATTCGATTTATAAGGGGAGTATCAGACATTTTCATCGATTGCTGAATCTAATGTGTTATAGTATTGCTCTTCCATTAATTTATAATAAATCTACTCGACGCTCCTTTCAAGTAGTTTAGTTTTCTGTTTAACTAATATAGAAAAAAGTTGACAAAAATAAGAATCGTACCTGTGACATGCATTCTCGTAAACCAAATGTTTTGCTCGTCTACATCTATATCGCTAAGCTTGAATACTGTCAGAACAATTCAGTATAGTGGTGATTTGGTAAATGTAAGCGGGAAACGTCAAATCCGATTTTTTCGCGAATACTTGGGGATATGCATCAAATGAATTTACTGTAAATTATTGGGAAAATACTACAACATATATCAAATTTTGTGAAATCGGTGAGGACAATGTCAAGTACTTCCCTTATTAGTTATCAAGATATGAACAATTTAATTCTTATAACACAAATTTCAGGATGACAACATATCCGCCACACTCTGGATTTTGTGAAATTGTTTGAAGTCTCGTGTATATAATGACAGTAAATCAGACCCCTGTCAACAATTAATTGACAGAATAATAGTGTTTACAAATAGTATTCCCGTTAAAAATACAAATTGCAATTGCAGAACACTTTGCACACATATATACGTGTACACGTGTCTCAAATCATTGTCTTTGATATTTTATTATTGTTTAATATGCTAAAATAGTGTGAAAAACATACCAAAAGTAGGACTACAGAGAAACTGAAGATAGTGGCAGGTAATCTCATTTTCCAATATGGGACCTTTGGCTCTTCGGCATTTGTAATAATATTGATCGATTTTTTTTTTATATGCGCAAGCCGTGCTAAATATTGCGGCCTAGGATATTCTTCATGAATATCTAAACCAGTCAAATCCCATCTATGAGTTATTTCAGCAGAATATTTTTTCCATAATTCCAGAAAAAATGCAGCTAGAAAAAGCAAATTCATCATTATACATATAAAGTTTAAATTATCATATGTAAAAATACAATTATAATTCATTTATTACTAAATTAACTAACAGGAATATACAGTCTGTGCGATAAGAACATATCCAGCGAAACTTTTATCCGTCAGATAAGAAATTCCAACTGGAGCAAGTAGAGGGTGAGAGCCTTTCTCTAAAATGCCATGTAAAGAAAGCTTCAATTATCGCTCGATCTTAATGATAGAAAGACATATTTCGCCATAAGTGCCGCATATACAATCGGCATTGCGATTCGAAGCCGTATTTCTCTTCGACACATTCGAAAGGACCCAAAATGTCGTGTGAAGCGGCTACTAAGCAAAGAAGTCTAAGGCATATGTGAATAAATAGGTGAAATTCTACTTAAGAGGTAAAAAACGTCGATAACCTGTTGGAATGTGGGAAGAAAACGGCGAAAAATGAGGACAAACTAATCTTATAGATGTTTATGAACAGCCCTAGTCTATCATTACGTAGCGGGCATCACGTCAAAAAGATAAAAATATATCATGTGACAATAAGAAAACATCTACGTGCTCATGATATGAAATATCAAAGCACAATTAAGAAACTACCTGTCTGAAAAACATATCGAAAAAAGAATTATAATACTTAGGCACAAAAAATTTGAATCGCGATTAGGACAATGACATTTTTTCCAACGCAGCTTCCTTTTGGACACGGTCCATCACTTACATTTCATATATCCACTTACATTTGATATATCCAAGTTAAGCAATCGTAATCAAGCAAATGGATATCCAATTTAATCTCGAACATGGTGCTTACTTCTTATATTAGTTTAACCCCTTCTATCTGCACATGAACGGATGTGTAAAATATACCGAACATCCTGTATATATATACCGCCTAAAAGTGGTTTAGAAGGAAGAACGATTATTGGCTATTAAAAAAGGATAATGACTCGTAACCCGATTCGTAATCGGAGTCATCTTTGTGCTGCGTGGAATCAAGAAAATGTCGTTCATTAACTGATTTGACCGTCACAGTCATCGAATGCTAATCCCACTCAAAATGTTTGAGCAGTTATAAAGCTTAAGCTTCGTGAAAAGAAGATTTGAAACATCAAGCAGCTAGTTCGACAAATTCGATTGATATGGAGATCTTTATTTCAAAAATATACCATAAAATTAGGAAAGTATGTCTCGAAGATGCTAGGCAATTATTGATAATGGAAGTGACTGAATAAATTATTAATAATAAAACGTCATGATTTTTATCAAGTAACAAGTATCTATTTCTACAATTCATTACAATAAATAGTTTTCAAGTTATGCCAGACATGTTCTTATCAAACAGACTGTATATTGAATCAGCCATAAAAATTTGGTTTGATATTTAATAATTCTTCGACAAATTAACTACCTTCTTTGATAAAATTATATAAATGTAAACAGTACGTTAATGGAAAATCATAAACCCAGATAACCAAGTGCGATTGAATATTTTGAACAAACTAATGCAAAACACATATTATTATATGTTTGCTATACATTTACTAATATCGAATAGAACGCGTTATAGTATGCAATAATATAAATGCTTATACAAGCAGTACGATATCAAACATTTTTTTAAACCCTACAACTTTTATTGCAAACATTTTTTTTTAAATCATTATTTTTTGAAATAATTATCTGTTCTGGAACTTTTGGCAAACCCTGTATAATCATATATGTCCACAACAAAAAAATACTATTGTTTACAAATTATATATAAATGCAATCGAAATAAATGCTTCTGGCTATTTGTGCTTCTGACAGCACTTAACGTCGACATTTAATTAAATGACATAACGTCATTTTTTCATGTAGGTACATATGATCATATATGTAACCACATATATGGACAAAATTCATATATGATTTTATATAACTATATATAATATATATAACCGTTTCTTCCCGGGTACAAAAAAATGTAACTGTAATATTTCAATGTTATTTATGAACATATCTCGAATAGCACTGTATTTAAAATCGAGACAAAAGATGTCTTTAAGACATCTTTAACTCTTTGTTCACAACTTTGTTTTAAGACGTAAGCCGTAAACAAAGTGATCAATTACAATCGTTTATTAGAAGAATAATCGTCCATGGTTGATCAATATGCTTACGACTTACGTCTTAGAGCAAAGTTGTAAAGGCGAAAAAGTTTAATGTCCCAATGTCTTTAAGACGTCTTCAAAATATTAGGTGGTTGCATATGAAACCCCGCCCGCTGGCAATAGATGGCGTGAAGTATACTATTTCTTCGAATTGAAAGTTGGCAATACACATGATGACAGGTCTGGGTCAGAGTCCCACCGTAAGTGATATTTGTGCGACGCGTTAACATCATCTATTTTGATAATGTTTACAATGGCAAGTTTTGTTCCAAATAAGTCACATTTGCGGGAAGTTATGCTCCATTATTTTCTGGCAAAGAAATCGCCCGCGGAATTGCATTTGCTAGAGGAAGTGTATGCCGAACATGCTCCATCGAGTACAACATGCAAAGAGTAGTTTCGCCACTTCCAAAGTGATGATTTCTCTATGGACAACAAGGACCATGGAAAACTACACAAAAAATTTGAGGACACGGAAATCGCTGCTGAAACCGTCGGAAATCATCACTGGGGATCGTTATCGACTGTAACTGATCCGTCTGAAGCGAATTTTGCACGAGAAGAGGCCGGAATGGGAGAATCGCCATGACAAGTTGATTTTGCAGCACGACGCTCGACCAATCAAGAAGTACTTAGAAGGAGTGAACTCCTACCCCACCCGCCATATTCCTCAGGCATCGCTCCCTCCAATTATCATTTGTTCCGGTCGATGCAGTCAGCGCTTACGGCACAGCACTTCATCTCGTACGGAGTCAAAAAATGGCTGGATGACTGAATTGCCTCCAAAAAATCCGAATTCTTCCTGCGTGGAATCCGATTGTTGGCCGAAAGATGGGCCAAGGTTGTCTGTTCCGATGGACAATACTTTAATAAACCAGTTTGCCGATTTGCTATCAAACTACTATCTTTTCTTTCGCTTAAAACTGGGCGGTTTCATATGCAACCACCTAATATATTAAAGACGACTTATGTGCAAATTTTATACATTATGCTGTCTGGATATAATATATTAGTAATTTCTGTAATATTTTAATCTAATATATAATATTTCCATTATGTTACAATATTACTACAACATTTCTGTGATATTATGTGCTATGTGAGAATTCAGATAAGTTCAACGCGACAGGTATAATATTGCCTTATCTTACCTTGTCTCTACTTTTTCAAAATTAATTGCTTCAACGATTGTTGGCAACATGACAGCAACTTCACAGACAAGTGGCTATCTGGGTAATGTTATTTAAACATTTTTGGTATTAAACTTCTTTTTCGGTGAAAACCTACTTAAAAGTATTCATTTGTTATCATTTGCAATATTTTAGTAAAAATTTAGCAAAATAGCGATAGGTTGTAGAGATGGTTTTGGAAAGTTTATTAATTACTGTTAACTACCACTTCAGAAGTAAATCTATACAGGATATCTAGACGTAAATATAGTAAATATAGTAATGTTCTTGTGTAAACGGATCTCATTAATCTGAACAAAAAATATTTTACCATTTTGTAAAAGTCCACGATAATTATTGTAATATTTATTAACTAAGATTGGCGAATAAGTACATTCAATACAATACAACTCTGTAGGGCAATTTGAAGAAATATGTCCTGATCTTATATTCTAATCTCTTAGCAACGACACATATGAATATTTCTGCATAAAGTAATGGATAGAAAACGATAAGATTACATTAAATGCAGCTTGAATTTCAATGCAAATCAATGCAAATCAATCAAATTAATAAGGCCTATCGGTAGGATATTTTAACATGTAAACTTTATATAACATATAATCTTTTATTATAACTTCACTATTTATTGGAATCATGTGTAGACAGTCATATAAGTTACATATTATATAGAATAGTAAGATGATATTAGTTAATTAATAATGACTGTTGATGTAGATGAAAGTACTACCAATAGACTTTAATAATTAGTGTGTGACATTAGACCATAGTGTAAAGAACACTATTTTTTATTGTATTCAAGGTGTCGAATTTAATTAATATCTAAATAATTATCGTGGATATTTGCAAACCGATAAGGCCTTGGTTCAATTTAATGAGCTCTACTTACGTACGAGCGCTACAATATTTATTTAAGTCCAAATATGTATGTAAAATTTCATGTAAGTCTCCTTAAATATATCGATATTAACAATATAATCTTACAAAATAAATGCGACACAATCACATAGTAATTTCCAGCATAAATATTTTTTTTGGTTTTTAGATATATATTTAATTTTGTTATATAAATATTATAAGAGAAGATTTGTAAAAATATTAAAAGAATTTATAATCAATTTTATACACTTACGGGTACCTGCCTATTTAAACATCACATTTCAAATTCAATTAGAATTCTTCAAAACAGATCATATGTATAAATATAAATTTCAAAAAACGTCCCTTCACTTCTGATGTGATCGTCTTTAATAATATAGTTCAACAAGTGTAGGATTACTACATACTACATAGAAATCATAATATAAAATTAATGTTAACTTACCCCATAACGACATAAACATCGAGAAAAATACTGTCGACGGATTGTCGAACAAATGTGTAATTCTTGCATGTAAACATGTTTCTTTGAGGTCCCAATATTCACATAAACGATCGCATAATGGACACATTTTAATAGTACCATTGCCATTACAGATATCTTCGCTTGGTTCATTATAATATAAAGTAGCACAGCTGTATATGAAACATAAGAGGCCGACGATACTCGCTGGAATTAGCATATGAGTATAAAATCCAAGCCAAGCGAAGTAAAGTCCGATTTTTACTCCAAAATATTCTTTAATGTAATCCAATGGCTGATAATGAAGACACTTTTTTAAACTGGCCCATTCAGTATATAAAAGGTATCGCATAGAGTCTGGAGTATGTAAGTTTCCCTGAAATATAAATAGCATATTAAAATATATGACGTATAAAACTTCAACTTTACAACTTAAAATAATGTTTACAATTTTTAATACAGACTAAAATTATTAAATGAATAAATTGATAATTATTATGTAATTTTAAATATGTAATGCTAATACTATACAAAATCCCAGTAAGCAAGCACATGTAATTTTGACATTAGAATTTAGTTTTCCATTGACTATGGTACTATATGATGTCTCTAAGATATAAAAATAATTATCTAATATCATAAAAACGACTGATGTCTGATGAGAAATCTCATTGGTGGTGTCCGTCTGGCGCAAAGGCTTTCGATGATTGTTGCTCTTCGATTATATTCTGCACTATTTTTCACGTATTCCGCCATTTTTAGTTATGAACATTTTAGCTACATATATGGTCTACATTAGTGTCATATAGTACCTCCGGCGGAACTGCAATATTATGAAAATTTCAAATTGAATTAAATTGAGGAATTAAATTTTTTTCCGGATTCTAGCGCCTGTAGGTTTAAACAAAGAACCCCGGGCATTCCCTTCCTTCCATAGTACAACCACAAATTTAGTTTCATACAAACCATATTTTTGTTTAGGGCATTACATTTGTGTGTTGAAATCGAGCTGATTTCGATGTTGAAAATTGCTCAAAATCAAGCTGATTTCGATGTCAAGAATTTCTCGAAACCGAGCCCGTATAAAGCTCGAATCAATGTTAGATTTTGACCTTTTCTCAATGTCCACATTTTGATATCATTTCACTTTTTATTTCTCACTAGGTCGCTAATTGCTATTTTTTAATAATTTTATAAAACACCTATTGAATATAATTCTCCCTCTTAACGATTTTTCGATGATTATTAATTTATCTATTATGAAATATCGCATTGTCACATTCACATTTGTATCGCGATTGAACTTAATATGAAACCTATACACTTAATACTTAGCAAAAATAATTAAAAAGATATAAAATATAAACATTACTTACATCATGAAGAGGATATGCTGCTACGTATGCACGTTCGGCTATTAATCTTTCAATACCAAATGCAAAATCATCTTCCTTAGTTTCTGTGAATTTTGTTCTATCCAGAATAAACTGTACGATACGTGATCGAGTAGCTGAGGTAAAAAAATTTGGTGAATCCAAATCGAATAAATATTCCTTGTCTCTACTATACACTGCTGTGAAATGATGTCTCATTGTTGGGAAGATGGTGGTATCCACATAATACTTGCTCATAATTCTTTGTATAAACGTATTTACTTCTTTTATAATAACATTACTACGCGTTTGAGGTATTTCGCAACTGAGCAATTCTTTCATCGGTAATCGAAGTTTCAATATTTCAGCGTATCGTCGTAAAACTTCCTTAGTGGCATGGATCTTTATAAAATGTAAACCATTCGGTTCCGCTAGTTCATATTCCAACTGCAGCCCCTCTTTTTCTAAGTTTTTCTCGAATATCTGGAAATATGATACAAAAGAAAATAAAAAAGTATCACTTTTGTTTCAAAAATGATATACAAAGAAATCGAATAAATGATATTTTCTGATAGTTTTCAATCTACTAGAATCAATTTGCTTATAAAAGATCTCCAACATGTGAGAAAAATATTAAGATTAATCTAAAGAATAGGTGTTAACGATGCTTATATTTGTTTGGGAGGGGGGGGNGGGGGGGGGGGGGGGGACAGTGTTACATAAAAACAGAAAAACAACATCAAACTTTTTCGATTGCTAGACAAAGAATTTCTTCATATATCTTTTTAAAATTTGTAAATGTCATAATTTCCTGTATGTAGAACAAAACAGAGAAGGAAAGAGAGAGATAAAGAAAAGAAGCACGAGATGGAGAGTGTGAAAGAACGAGAATGATAGCGAAAATAGCTGTATGCAAGTGCATGTATATGCACGTATGCGTATATATAGCGTACGCGTATGCGTGAACATGTTCATGTGTGAATAAATGTAAACAATAATTTCAATTTACCTTTCTACGCTCAATGTTGCGATAGGTCTGTGTTTCTCCGTCATATTCATCCCACACAAGTACAAAATCGATTGAACGAATCTCATCTTGAAAATATAAACTATCCTTGGTACCAGAATGAGGAAGCTGTAATACCAAAATACTATATCAATATTTTCAGGAAAATAAATGCAAAAGTCAATGCAACATAATTTAACAATTTGTCACAAGAATATGAAATAATAATGTCCAAACTTATTTTAGCAATGTTGTGATAGATTTATAACAGCAATTTTTTCGTCACATTATGTATATTATTAAGAGTAAAAAGGTTTCCATCATTTTCCATCAGAGTTCTTTTATCGAGGCTCCTTGTCACAGAGCAAAGAACTCTGTTTTAACGGTGGTATCCTAGTTATTAGTGGTAGGAATTAAAACCTTGTTTATCAAGAGACATGGTCGTGTCTCAAGCCAAGTGCATGCACGAAACAATGTGGGATTAGTTAATCGCAAACAAGATTTTTCGTTCGACGATAACGGCTAAACTAACATCATTCTGAATGGGCTCAATCGATTCCTTGATTTTATATTAGGTAATAAAAATGCCTTTATTCATGTCCTATATATCCAGTGAATTGAGTTATTTTAGATTTAAGTCCGAAATTTTGAAATTTTGTGACCTAAGATTTCGTTCAAAAAAATCCAACTTATATACAGGATGTTTCATTTGAATTGCCCAGGTTAATATCTCAGAAAGAAATCATCCTAGCGAAAAATGTTTAATACAAAGGCTGAATGATTTAGAGGGAAACATCGGATGATAATCTTGGCCTTGTCGAAGGTGACGTTGTTCAAGATTATTTGAAGGTTAACTTTATTTTTTTAATAGAATTATATAGTTTTTTTTTACACAAATCGATTCTTCTGTTCATTGTACGTGTAAAAATATTAGGGCAAAGTTATTTAAACACAAATACTTTTCGAATGATTTTACTTTGTATTCTGAAATTTTTCAATACAAGATATGAAATATTTCATAAAGTATTCTTTTACGATATCATCACCTTAAAATTTTTATATGTAGAATGGCAAGTGGAATCGATAAGCAAACATAGAAAAACCTTAAAAAAAATTCATTGCATTTCATAAATTCATCTATGCACCAATGTACAAAGATCTTGCCCTAGTACTTTTATAAATATGATGAACAGAGGAATTGATTTATGTTAAAAAAAAAACGATTCTATTTAAAAAATAAGGTTAATCTTGAAATGACCTTGAACATCGTTACTTCCGACCAAGATCATCATCCAACGTTACCCTTTAAACTATATAATTTTTATATTAAACATTTCTCGCTACGATGATTTCCTACTGGGATATTAGCTTCAGGCAATTAAAATGAAACACCCCGCATACAGTGGCGTGTAAAAGTTAGCAGCCAGTGACATTTTGTACTCTAATTTACCAAAAAAAGCCTAATGAAATTTGTTTCATTATTAGATGTGAGGATAAGATATAGGAAATGAAATAATATAGTGATAGAATATTGGTTATGCTCGTGAAAATATTTATTGTTATAATTGTTATCTTTACATGCGCAAAAGTTTCCGGCCATTATGTACTACGAGAAAAATTATTAGTCCAAACATTCTATAATATACCTTAGTTAGTTTAAATTATATTTTACACACACACACACACACACACACACACACACACACACACACACACACACACACACACACACATACACATAAAAGAAGTGTAAATCCAACTGGTTAACCTTCACGTGGTATATTTAGGATAATGTTAATGCTAGCAGTAACTTGCAAGTTTTATAATGCGAAAAGTACTTAACACGTTAAATGCCACGCCAGTCCACGCCGGTCGTACATTATCACATAAAGATGAAAAAAAAAATCTGTAGCACAATATATATCAGCAATTACGCATAGTTACATTATATAACCGAATATTTCCGCTTCTCTTTGTATAGCATATTTTTTCTGTGAACACTATCTTTGCGACGAATATATGCTATAAATGTTAAACATGTGTTATTTGTTTATGTATAAATGCTGTATCATTGTTTGAATATATATTATATCGTTTATTCTATATTATTCATCTATATTATTATTTTATATAGTGTTTCTATGTAATTTTCAAATTTGGTATAAATTTGGTATAAGCAAAATTTTGTCTATGTTGTAAATTATATTATTTCAATCCCTCTAATTCGTTTCCACAATACCTCATTTCATAATTTGTACTCGGAAGTTTTGAAAGCCGTAGACATTAAGTTTTTGCATGTTTAATTCACTATTTTATATCCAACATTCCGAATTTTGTAATTTTTCAATTTCGACCCCAGATTCGTAATCAGCGACCCAAAAACCCTCTATATATCACATTTTAAGGGAATTGCTTGATTTGCTGCAATTTCGGTCCGTCACCAGTTTAATATGGCGGACTAAAATTGCAGTAAATCAATCAATGTTCCTCAAATGTGGTGCTTATAATGTTATATTTAAAGGGTTTTCGAGTCGCTGATTACGAATTTTGGGTTGAAATAGAAAAATTACAAAATTCGGAATGTTGGATACAAAATAGTGAATTAAACATGCAAAAACTTAATGTCTACGGCTTTCAAAACTTCCGAGTACAAATTATGAAGTTCGATATTACAAAAATGAATTAGAGAGATTGAAATGAAATAATTTACAGCATAGACAAAATCTTGCTTATACTAAATTTCTAAGTAAACAATTCATATATTATTCATGAATAAAAGAAAATTGTTCATGATGATATATCGTCTTTTATCGTCAAAATCGAGCTGAAAAATAGACCCTTCGAAAATTTTCCAATTTTAACCTTGGATTCGTTGACAGCTCCAAAAACTACGAAATATTAAATTTGAATTGATTTTCTAAATTTTCTGCAATGTCGACTCTCCATATTGAATTCGTCATCTTGAATTTTGGAAAATTTTCAATTTTGACTTCAGATTCTTTATCAGCGACTTCAAAAACCTCCGGGTACCAAGTTTGATGAAAAATATGTGGGAGAAAAAAAATGTGTGCTTCAAAAGATTAAACAGAATTTCGTGACAGATGGATAAATGAAAGAGATTCAATGGCCTCGTTATCCGATCTTACCTGACCTCTGAACTGTTCTTTATAGGGATATATAAAAAAGAAAGTTATGTCTCAACCATTTACGACAAAAGAAAACATGAAGCATGAACTTAAAAGAATACATGAAGCATACGCTAGCGTGACCCTAGAAATGTTATTTAGGGTTAGACAAAATTGTTTAGAAAGAATTAATAAATGTTTAGATGAAACTAGTCAATAGTTCGAACCTTAAAAAAGTAAAACAGAAAAATTGAAGCCTTTTATTTAATTTACAGTTTTACTATTAATTTGAATACATTCTGTTTTAATGTTTAAATGTTTATAATGTTATTTTAATGTTTAAAAGCATTTTTCAAAAAAAAAAAAATACCAAATAAAATTTACTATTTCTTCCTGCAGACTCCAAATGTATAACATTTTGTAATAGGTTTCATTTGAAATTATGAAATTATCCCCTGCTTTCTTGATGGGGGAACAAAGACGACTTTATGTTTACGTATTTAGAAAAACCTCTCGAATTAAACTTTCTCATGGACAACATTTTAATTCGAAAAATATTTATGCACTCATTGGCTTATCACACTTTACGCGGCCACCTTATATATTGATTTTGAATATCTTATATGTGCAGCAATAATATATTGGGTTGGAGAAGAAGTTTTGCGAATTTTTAAATAGATGACATTAGTGTCAGAAAATAAATATCATGTGTCATTTAATTGCCCGTCTGCCGCACATTTTCTGAAAAGTTAGACTACGCTTGACATTTGGCAGAAGAGTTTGTTTTGGTCGGACGTGTTTTGTGTGTACGGTGTACATTTAAAATGGAAGAGTAAAAGTTGCATTTTCGGCATATTTTACTATTCTTCATTCGAAAAGGCCAAAAAGAGGCTAAGCACGAAATATGCACCGTGTATGGTTCCTCGGCCTTAAGCGCGAACATATGCGAGAGATGGTTTGCCTGCTTCCGTTCCGGAGAATTTAATCTCCAAGGTGCTCCACGCTCTGGACGGCCAAACGCTGCTGACGACGACTAACTCCTGGCTGCAGTGAAGAATAATCGACATTTAACGACTCGAGAGATTGCGGAATGCTTCGGCATTCATCATACAACCATTGCGGACCGATTGAAAAAGCTTCGCATGGTGAAAAAGACCGATGTATGGATGTCGCACGAACTGACCGAAAAGAACACCATGGATCGAATTTTGATGTATAAGCCTCTTCTGAAACAAAACTCTCTAGACCCATTTCTGAAACGGATCATCACTGGGGACGAGAAATGGATTGTCTACAACAATATCAACCAACAGAAATCGTGGTGCGGTCCGGGTGAGTTTTCAAAAACGGTGGCGAAACCTGATTTGCATCCGCGGAAGGTGATGCTCAGTATTTGGTGGGATTATAAAGGAATGGTGTTCTTCAAGTTGCTTCCGCAGAGTCAAATGATAGATTCGAAGAAGTACTATGCTCAGCTCGACAAATTACGCAAGGCAGTGCGAAAGAAGCGACTAGAACTGTCGAATAGGAAGGGTGTGGTCTTCCATCATAACACCCGACCGCACATTTCTTTAATCACGAAAAAAAATCGCAGAGCTCTGGCTGGGAAATGATGCAGCACCCACCATATTCGCCGCACCTTGCACCGCCCGACTACTACTTGTTTCGTTCGCTGTAAAACAATCTTAACGGTCAACGGTTCGATTCAATGGAAGCTGTCCGAAATCATCTCGCCGATTTTTTCGCCCACGAGTCCCAAGTTTTACGAGAGCGGCATCAAGGCCCTACCGAAACGTTGGCAACAAGTTGTAGATCAGGATGGTCAATACATTATTGACTAAATAAATAGATGTAAATATCGATTTTCTGTTAAACTTTTACGCTAAAAATCCGCAGAACCTTTTCACCAACCCAATACATTTCGTCGAATAAATACCGGGAATGATTTATTTCTAAAGACGGCGTAAAAGGTACGGAAATAAATTTTTCGCTGTAAGTTGGTACCAATAGTTGGTTTTGTTGGTCGACTTCAAATGTACTTTGCGATTTTTAAAATGGACAAAACTATCGAGCAAAGAGTTTGCTTCAAATTTTGTGTTGCCAACAAAATTTCTTACGCTAAGTCGTTGAAAATGTTGGAGAAGGCCTACGGTGAGTCAGCTTTATCGAAAACACGAATATACAAGTTGGTACAAAGCATTCAAAGAAGGCCGAGGAGTAGTTGAAGACTTGCCTCGTTCCGGTCGACCTTCAACGTCTTCGACTAATGAAAGCATCGACAAAGTGCAGGAAATGGTGATGGAAAATCGTCATTCAAGCTTAAGAGAGATGGCTCAGGATCTGGACATGTCTCACGAATCCGTTCCTAACATTTTACTTCATGTTTTGGGCATGAGACGCGTCGCGGCACGGCTTGTTCTGAAAGAGCTGAATTTTCTTCAAAAAGAGCACCGCAAACAGGATGCTGAAGACATGCTTGAACGAGCCAATTCGGACCCTACCTTCATGAAACGCATCATAACGGGTGATGAGACATTGGTTTATGAGTTTAACAAACCAGACAACAAGCTTCGGAATGACGCTTCGATAACGAGTCGTTATCGAAAAAATCACGTCAAAGTCGCTCGAAAATCAAAGTCATGTTGACTGTTTTCTTTGATTATCGTGGTGTTGTCCACTCGAGATTTCTTTCGGAAAAGCAAACAATATTATCTGGGCGTTATGAGACGTTTGAGAGAGAATGTTCACCGGAAAAGGCCAGATTTGTGAAAAAGCAATTCTTTTCACCATGATAATGCGCCGTCCCATACATCGACCCTCATATGCGAATTTTTTATCAAAAACTCAACGAATGTCATCGACCAAGCATCGTATTCGCCAGATATGGCCCCGTGTAATTATTTCCTGTTCCCCAAACTCAAAGTACTACATCGTGGAAAACGTTTCGAGTCCATTGAAGCCATAAAACAAAATTCGCAGAAAGAGCTGCAGGCCATACCGGAAAGTGCTTATAAGAAGTGTTTCGACGACTGGATTATTCGTTGGCATAAATGTATCGTATCAAATCGGGTATATTTTGAAGGCGACAAAATAAATTTGGATGACTAAACCAATATTTTCTGTTTTATTGAACGATTCCCGGTATTTATTTGACAGAATGTATATTGTAGAATACAAGATGAATAATTCTTACCAATCTTGAATCGCGTGTGGTGTTTCCTACACCGGTACAGCTTCCATCTACAGTCTCTTCCATCTCATTTTCATCATTATTTATAATGGAAGAGTCATCTATATATGTTTGATCAATATTTTCCAAGGAAACAACACTGTGCATGCTATTCATACTTATAGCATCTTCGTATAAAGTATTGCGAACACTTTGATACAATGTTTGTTCCGATCCTTTATTTAAATTGTCCTGCATAGACTGATATATGCTTGATCCTGTATTACTGCTTTTTCGACGACGTGTGCATGCAAAGGAAATCGCTCCGTCATCCTCTTCCATACTACACTAAATTTATAGAATTTTAAGCTCTACATATACAAATAAAATTTTATTATATAAGGTTGTATGTATGTGTGTGAGTGTGTGTGTGTACAAAATGGTAAAAATATTTAGGAACAGTTGAATGTTTTGTAAACCATGCATTTTTGGAAGAAATGTTTCGTACAAAAAGTTATAAAGTTATAAAGTTTAAATAAGCATGTTTTAATCTATCTAATTTTTAACGGTATTACTAAAATTGGGTCAAGATTAACTTGAATTTTTTAATAGAAATCACTATTTTTTATTGTATATTACTCCAGCAACGCTGTTTAAAAAATATCCAAAATAGAATTTTATAAAAAAATCTAATTAAATGGTGAGTTTGGTTCATAAATATTAAATTGATTATCTGAAACGTTTGACACATTATTCATCTTGATACATTAGTTATCTTCCTATATGTTATTTGTCGTATTGTTTGTGTATAATCATTAATTAACTTAAATCTGGCTATGTTTTATCGAAATTAATAATATTCTATCGTGTTTTTGGTTCATATATTCAG